CAGGCTGGTCTTGAACTCCTGACCTCAGGTGATCTGCCCTCCTGGGCCTCCCAAAGTGCTGGGATTATAGGCGTGAGCCACCATGCCCAGCTGGGGTTTTGTTTTTTTTTTTAGAGGATGTGGTGGGTGGGGTCTCACTCACTCTGTTGTTCAGGCTGGAGTGCAGTGGCACAATCACAGCTCACTGCAGCCTTAACCTTCTAGGCTTAAGTGATCCTCTGGCCTCAGCCTCCCAAATAGCAGGTAACATAGTCACGCATCACCATGCCTGGCTAATTTTTTAAAGTTTTTTTTAGAGATGGGGTCTCACTATGTTGACTGGCTGATCGTGAACTACTGGGCTCAGGTGATCCTCCTGCCTTGGCCTCCCAAAGTATTGGGATTACAAGTGTGAGCCACGTCGCCCAGCCAAGAACTAGAGTTGCGACTGGATCCCACTCCAAAGGGTCTCCATCACCCCTACAGGGTATCCTCCTGTTGTCCCTGCTTCACTTTGAAGGGCATGGCTAAATAAAAGAGGTTTGGAGAGGGGATCCTGATCACCAGACGCTCAAAGGGAAAGAGGCAACCCAGGGCAAAGGGTGGATCTCAAGATGCTGTGCCCACCAAAATGAGTGCCTCAGTTTCTCTCTGCCACCACCTTTCACATTAAGGCCCACTCCATGGAGGGGAGGGGAATCTGGTGTTTATTAACCAGGGCTGGGTCCTGGTTGATCAATGCTGGGACCTCAGGAGGGAAGAAGGGCACTGCCTCCTCTTTGAGCCCACACAAAAGAAAGAGAGGGGATGGCTTTCCTTGTTCTCTCTCCCCCACCCCCAGAGCTCAGCCTCTGAACAGAGATGCAGTGACGCCCAAAGATTTATGCACGTGTCCCTAGCTGAAGGGGTGTGTCCCAGGCTGAGGGGCCAACAGATCCTTTTAAGCTGAAGGGTGAGGGGCAAAGGAGGATGGGGCAGAGGGGGCCTCCTTTGGCCTCTTTCTCATACACTCCAGGTTGCAAAATTTGTCTGGGAGGAAACGATTACAAGAGGGTGAGAAGGCTGGAAATTAGTGACCCACTGCCTCAGGCCCTAGTCTCACTGAAGTCTAGAAGAGTCAATTCTCCATCAAGCTTCTCTAAGAAACCTGGGAGACCCCAGGCCCCACAGCCTTCCTTCTTTCTTTCTTTTTTTTTTTTTTGAGACAGTCTCACTCTGTCACCCAGGCTGGAGTGCAATGGTGTGGTCTTGGCTCACTGCAATCTCCGCCTCCCAGGTTCAGGCAATTCTCTGGCCTCAGCCTCCTGAGTAGCTGGGACTACAGGTGCATGCCACCACACCCAGCTAATTTTTTTTTTTTTTAGTAGAGATGGGGTTTCACTATGTTGGCCAGGCTGGTCTTGAACTCCTGACCTTGTGATCTGCCCATCTTGGCCTCTAACAGTACTGGGATTATAGCCATGAGTCACCACACCCGGCCTCAGGCCCACAGCTTTCTTCATCCATCACAACAGCTCACACAATACAGTTTGTTATTAACTAGGCACTTTTTAAAGCATTTTTCCTCAAAAAAGCTAAATGAGGTAGACATGATCATCCCCAATTTACAGATAAGGCAACGGGGAAGTTAAATGTCTTGCTCAAAGTCACACATCCAGTGAGTGAGAGCTGGGATTCAGACCCAAGCATTCCATCATCATCACCATCATCATCCCTATTCCTAACTGTGATGGCATATCACCTGCTTGAGGGATAATGCCTTGTTCTTTAATCCAGCGACGTGTTCCCTGAGACCAAGCTTTGGTCTTTGCCCCGAGGGCTCTGTCAGTGCCTCCACCTCCAAATAGGCCAAGGCTAGAGGGAGCATGGCCAGAAGTGCTTGGTGCCCCCGGGCCCTGTGCCTCCTACCCGAGTTCCTCCTCGTCAAATGCCCTCTCCGGAAGAGGTTCCCCTTCTAGGCTGGAACCTGCACTCATGGGTGGGAGGGCCTCGCTCAGCCCACACTTAGTCTGGGCAGCTGTGCCCTCAGAACCAGGCCCTGAGGCTGGGAAAAGAGGACACAGCTGTTGGGCATCTCTGAGGTGCGCCTCAGCTGCCAGGGGTGTGGAGAAAGGCCACTGTGAGCCCTGCCACGGACCCAACTCAGGAGGGTCCTGCCAGCTCCTGCCACTGCCCATGGGGTGGTTCTTTTCCAGCTTGGGCCAGTGTCTGGGGAGCCTTGTCACTGACTTGTTTAGGAGCTGCTAGCTGGCTGCAGCCTGCATCCTGAGGGTGCCCACAGAACTGGTCTGGCTGCCCGAGGGGCAGCATGGGCAGTGGCTGTCCCCCCTCCCTTTCCCCATTCCCAGTCCCTAAAACTTGCTGGCCACAGCTGCAGCAGTAAGGAAGTGCAGGAAGTCCTGAGCAGCCAGCTGAGCCCACCCCCCTGGCCCCCCACACCAACCTTAAGCTGACCCCAGAGGCTGCCTGGTGTAGCGGGTGGGGGGGTGGGGGGGCAGAGGGGCGGAGATTGGGTATTAACAACGGGAAAAGTATGAAGAACATCACTGCCAGTCCCCAGCTCTGAGACAAGGACAGGGGTAGACAGGGGTAGCGACAGGATGAGAGAGAGTTACAGACTGGCAGAGAAGGGGAGAGAGAAAGAGAGAGAGAGAGAGAGAATCAGACACTGCAAGACAGAGCAACAGAAAGAGAGAGTTAGAGAGAAATTCCAAGTCAAAAATACACATCACTCATGCAGACAGTCGCCAGCCGATGGCCTCTTAAGGAAAGCTTCCAAGTTTGGGTAGCAGGGTCCAGGTGACAAGAGGGGCGGCCAGACTCAAGGTGGGATGCAGGAACTCAGCTGGGGGTGACTGAGTGTTCCCAGGAAAGGCCCGGGCAAATGACTCAGAGCATGGGCAGTTTGATATCCCTGAGCTTTTCGGGATGAGTGCAGCTCTCCCCTCACCCAGAAGTCAAGAGAATCCCAGCTTCTAGAAGTCCCTGGACATGCTCTGAGCCCCATACTCGGCCTTCTGGAACCCCCCTGCACCCTCCGTCTTTGCTCTTGTTTCTCTGACCCTCCAAAAGAAAATAAAAGTAAAAAAAAAGCCCATTCCCACAGAGTGGCTGGGCCTAGAGGAAGAAGGCAGGAAGAAGCTGAAAGGGAAAAGTCTGTGATTGTGTGCATCTAGGTGTGTGCTTGGCTGCACAGGCTACAGTTGTGTGCATCTGGAATTATGTGGACACGACTGTTTGTGTGGACCTGGGCCCTGTGAACTCATTCTGTACCTGAGTTCAGGGGCCCATGTGCAAATGAGTGCACCTGTGTCCGCAGGTTCCACAGTCAATCAACTAACAAGTAGTTACAAAGCAGCCATTGTGCTAGGCTCTGGGTGCGATCCGGAGCTCTTCAAATGATTCTCCCAGGTCTCCAAGAGCTCACTGTCTAGTAGGGTTGGTATGTCAAGCAACAGAGACCAAAAACATGTCATCGGGAATGCATGCTTTGCACCATTACGCAGCAACACCTTTTCATACAGCCAAATTTAATTTTCTTGGGAGCAAGGGTTTTCTTGTCTACAGAACCTCAGAGCTCCACAGTAAGAGTCCAGGAAAATACTTGTTGCTAAGTTGTGTATACATGTGTTGATGTATAACTGTGTTTGCATCTGACTGAGTGACAGCTACTGTCATGGCAAGCAATGATGACTGTGTGACTGGGCTTATGTGAGCACGTGTGTGCCTGTGAGTGACAGGGTCTTTTGTAATTGTGCGGCTGTGTGCAATTGCTCTGTGTGCATGCATGCATGTGACAGTGACTTTTTCTGTGTGGGTGACAGCAACTCCTCCTTGCCCGTGTGTGACAGCCTCTCCGTGTGACCCTGTGCGTAGGTATGTGCCATGGGTCGGTCTCCATGCTTTTGGTCTCCCGTGGGTATGTCCCACCCCCTGAGCTCCACGGTGCAGCAGCAGCCTGCCTCTTCCCTTGTCCCCATGTGGGTGTGTCCAGCAGCTCCTGTCCTTGAGTCCGCCTGGGTGTCCCTGGGTATGCCTGTGGCTGTCTGTGTGGACATATCTCTGTGTCTGCGTGTCACTTTTGCTTTCCCCCCATCTTGGACAACAGCCCCCTTCATCCCCTCCCCCTCTTGGAGATGAAGCCAGCACTGAGGGGCAGGCTCCCATCTCACTGGCTTTCCTTCTGTGTCCCCCACCCCCACCTCTGGACCGGTGGCTCTTTCAATTGCCCCTGTCATCCCCCCAGGCCTTTCTTTCACGCTGGGCAAGGGAGGGCCCCAGATGGAGAAGGGGAACCAGAGACACGTTGCAAGGGGAGGGAAAAAGGTGGGGTACACACACACAGGTCCATTTCTCCCTCTCCTCCCCAGCCAGCAACTCTCCTAATCATCTAGGCACCATCAAGTGCACCCCCTCCACACACACATTCCCCCCAGCAGCAGCGTTTTTGCAATTAGAGTGTTGCAACCAGACAGCCATGCTCCACTGGAAGGCGGGTGAAGGGGGGTAACTTCCCTCTCCCTGGACCCATGCAAGCCCACCCCCGCCACCGCACTCATACTGCCCTCCGCAGCTGGAGGCAGCTTTGCAAAGGCTACTCGGCCTCAAAGGCTAGGGGTGGGGGCTGGGGGGGGCAGGCCTCCGACGCACCGTAAACAAACCGCGGAGCGGCGGGCGGGGGAGCTCCGGCGGCCGGCAACGGGGCTTGGCCCGGGAATGCGCAGCAGGCTGGCCGGACAGAGGCCGGGCGGGACGTCGAGGGGGAGGCCCGGACGCCATCTCCGCCTGCAAACCCCCGGGCCCACCGACCTCCAAGCAACACCTCCCTTCCCCAGGGCGTCAGCTGCAAGCTCCTGGGCTCGTGACAGGGTCACTGGGGCGCCGGGAAAGGCTGAGGCTGACAGCGGGTACGCCCTGGGCGACCCTGGCCCGCCTGGGAGCTGGCCACGGAGCCCCGCGGCTTTGCATAATCAATCGCGAGGCATTGCATATTAATGCCCCCTCGCTCCCCTCCTCCTTACCTCGGCGTGGCGCGCTGGACCGGGCTGGGCAGCGACGCGGGGGTCTCAGCGCCCAGTGCCGTGGGCGTCCATGGGGGGCCGGTGGGGCCCGGGCCGCCCGCCTCCTGCGCCCGGGTGTGAGTGCGAGTGAACGCGGGGGGGGGGCGGGGGGCGAGTGTGGCGGCCCCGCGGCTCCTCCGGCAGAGGCGGCGGCCGCTCTGGCTCCTCCCTCCCCCGCCCCGCTCCGGCTGGGGCTCGGGCTCCGCGCGCCCGGCCGGCTCGCGGCTGCTCCCTGCAGGCCGCCTCGCCACCGCCCGCCCCCGCCCCCCGCCCCCTGCCGCGCCCCGGGACCCCCGCCAGCGGCCCGGCAGCCCCTCGGCCGCCCCTGCCCCGCCCCGCTCGGACTCACCCTCCCCCGCCGGGCGGCTCCCGCAGGAGTGGGTACTTGGTGACATATTTTGGAAGAGATGTCATTAAAAAATAGCCTTTGCTTGCCGGGAGAATTGGGGGTTTTCGGGTTTGCACCATGGGGTGGGGAAGAAAGTACCGAGGAGCCGCCTGCACCTTACACATGAGGAGAAAGCCTAAACACCAAACGCTTGCAGGTGTAGAGTTTGTTTAGGAGTTCGGGTCCCTTCTCCGCCAGTAACTCACTGTGTGACCTTGACAAATCACCACTGCTGTCGGGGCAGAGCTTCCTCAAGCTTCAGCCGCGAAGGCTGGGCAGATCACCCCTGACGTCCTTTTAACTTCAATCATCCTGTGTTTTTAATCCTTGTGTGGGCTCAGTACCTCCCTCCCCTCTCATTTCTAACATCGATACCGATCCACTGCCTCCCCTTTCCAACATCACCCTTCTCCATATAGGCTCTTTCTATTCTCTGTCACCAGCCATTTCCCCAACAATCTGCTCCCTCTCCTCACCTCGGGGAGGGGACAAGATTTGCCATACCCCCTCAATTCCTAGCTCCTGGGTGGTGGTATTTCCCCCCGTGTTTGCTCCCACCAAAATCCAAATGGTACCAGAGTCAATCTAAGGAAGCCGGTGGGCTGCATACAAATGGACCCCCTAATCCAACCCAAAGGAGAGGTTTCCACTGTGCCAGCCCCACCCCCAGCACACATACACACACACGCAACACACACACACACAACACACACACACACACGCATCTGCAATTCATGGACATAAAACCAACCCAGTGACGCCAGAGCCCCTTTCATCTCGGGATCTCCCAGTTCCAGGCCAAGCCCTAATTACCCCAGCACGCCCCTGGCCCCGCCGGTTCCCCTGCTGTCATTAGCCCAGTTTTACCAGTGGGGGCCACAGCCTTCCCACGGCTCTCAGGGTGGGGCCCTGCTACACAGTCTGCTCTTGGAGAGGGGTGTGTGTTTGTGTGTGAGCGTGTGTGTCAGGGGGAGCTGCTCAGCTACTGGCCCAGGTTATACTGGATAGAATCACTTGCCGAGTGTGGGATCCTGACCCACAGCTTATCCAAGCTGGGCTGCCCTTGCTCATGTCTCAGTCTCAGCCTCCTGCATCCTCAGTGCTGTTGGAGCCACTTCTTTCACAGGGGATACTGGAGTTTGTAATGCTTGGCGGAGGGGAGGGTACCTCTCTGGGGGTCCCTGGAACCATGGAGATGAGAAAAGCAGCTGGGATGAAATCTATGGCATGCAGAGTGCAGCGGTGGTGTTGAGGGCATTGCCATAGGTGAAGGGAGCCTGTGAGGTGCAGTGGCAGCTAGAAGGGGGAGTTGAGGCAGCAGCGTGCAGTGTCTCCACGAGGTAAGCGAACCTGTGTTCAGTCTGGGCTCACGGGAGACAAGCAACAGCTGCAGTGTGGGGCAGGAGGCTGCAGCGTGCAGAGTCAGTGCAGTGAGCAGAATGAGGTGCACTGAGGGTGGCTGCCTGCCGGTGGGTGCCACCTCCTCGGTGATCAGGTTTGGCCGAAACCCTGGGTGCACGGCTACAGTGTATAGTGCTTGGGGTCTGTGCTCTACCCTGTGTGGAACTAGTCCGTTGGGATTGGGCTGCTTAAGGAGCTGGGAGGGAATCCTGATGCATGAGATACATTTATACTCTGCATCACAAAGACAGAACTAGGAGGCAGTGGGGAGGGCCAGCAGTCATCTGGATTGGGGCTGGAGTGATGGAGTCCAGAGGCGGAGGAGGAAGGTGCTGTGGTTTTGTCTCCCTTCCATCCTGGCTTTCCCCACCATATCTCTCTTTGATGCAAGGCCCTATAATATTGTGTGGGGGAAGACTTTCTGAAATCCTAGATCCAAAGCCATATAAAATGATGTGCCTTCTGATTCACTTTTTTTTTCCTGAAGGGCAGAGTAAGGCACTCAAAGACAAGGGTTTACCATTTCCATCTTCTCCCCCACTCCTTTTTTTTTTTTTTTTTTTTTTGAGATGGAGTTTTTCTCTTGTTGCCCAGGCTGGAGTGCAATGCTGTGATCTTGGTTCCTGCAAACCTTCGCCTCCAGGTTCAAGCGATTCTCCCGCCTCAGCGTCCCTGTAGCTGGGACTACAGGCATGTGCCACCATGCCAGCTAATTCTGTATTTTTTTTAGTAGAGACGGGGTTTCTCCATGTTGGTTAGGCTGGTCTCGAACTACTGACCTCAGGTTATCCATCCGCCTTGGTCTCCCAAAGTGCTGGGATTACAGGTGTGAGCCACCATGCCCAGCCCCCATCTTCTCCTTTAAAAAATTTATTATTATTATTAGAGACAGAGTCTTCCTCTTTTGCCCAGGCTTGGGTGCAGTGGCACAGTCTTGGCTCACTGCAACCTCCGCCTCCTGAGTTCAAGGGATTTTCATTTCCCACCCTCCCAAGTAGCTGGGATTGTAGGCATGTGTTAGCATGCCCAGCTAATTGGTTTTTTTAATTTTTTGGTAGAGAAGGCATTTCACCATGTTGGCCAGGCTGGTCTTGAACTCCTGGCCTCAAGTGATCCTCCTGCCTTGGCCTCCTAAAGTGCTGGGATTACAGGCGCGAGCCACCGTACCGGCCACCCCTATCTTCTCTTTACCTCTCTCTCTTTCCTGGGCTCCCAGTATGGACTGGTGACAGATCTGGGCAGGACAAAGTGAAGGGCACACTGCCTTCAAAGCAGGCCTCTGCCCAGGTGCCAGGATCCAGTCCAGGTCTGGGCTTAGAACCCCTGTCCCTGTGTTGCATCCTCTGTCTTCCCACCCCACTCACCCTGCCCACCCATTTTCTTGAAGCTGCTAGCTCTTCTTAGATTCAGTTCATCCTCGGCTCTGGCTCTGTCCTTGTCATGAAACCCCCCATCAGGGCTGGCCCCTCCCATTCCCCATCTCTGCTTCAGCGCATTCCCCGAATCTATCAGATGGGTAGGGGTGGCATGAATAAGGATGGATAGACTCTCCAAGGGGATATGTCTGATGGCCCCTGCAGCTGAGATTTCCGTTGCCAAGGAGGTAGCAGAAACAGCCTGTTCTCTGGGCTCCCATCAGAACAGCCATGTCCAGGCTCCTCCCTCTCTTCCCCCTCTCTCCCTCCCTTCCTTCCAGACTATTGCTAGGAAGCACCCCAAGATTTCTTGAGGATACGACCTCTAGGAAACAAGGTAACCAGATATCTTTCTGAAGAGGTTTTTTTTCAAAGTCTGGCAGCTAAGACCCCACACAGCATCTTCTACCCCTGCCCAGAAGCCTTACACATCTCTAGCAGTTTGGGGAAACAGGAGACAGTCCCCTCTACCAGCCACCTGGAACAAAGCTCTGTGGCCTGGCCTCAGTATTCCCCTCCTCTAGGTCAGCCTTGACCTCCTGGGCCTAGGTCAGCAAGTGATGGCACGTCCAGCATACACCTCTAGACTCTGCAGATAGAGCTGAACTTACTGGGGGTGCTCTGGAAAGACAGCAGAGGAACCTGAGGCTCCACCAGCCAAGAGAACTCAAAGCTCAGATGTTTCTCCCTCTGAGGGATTTCCCAATCAAGAAGAGTGGTGGAAATGGAGGAAAGAAAGTTGGAGAGCAGACTGGGCAAGGTGGCTCATATTACCAGTACTTTGGGAGGCTGAGATGGTAGGATCTCTTCAGGTCAGGAGTTCAAGACCAGCCTGGGCAACATAATGAGACCCCCCCCATCTTAAAAAAAAAAAAAAAAAAACCCACAAATGATCTGGGTGTGGTGGCGTGCACTGCACCTTCAGTCCTGCTACTTGGGAGGCTGAGGCAGGTGAGAGATTGGGAAATTAGCAAATAATTACCCTGGTAAGAGAAAGTGACCATTTAATTTTCCCTTTTGTCCCATCAGGTGCCCTTGCTATGGGTCACAAACGAGGGAGCCAGGAAGAGAGGACCAGGACTGGCTTGAGCCTTGCTTTTGGTAGCTGAGGTAAGAAATGGAAAAAGAAGCTGACACCTTTTCCAGGCTGTCTTTCAGGGTTTCTCCTACCTTTATTCATTCATCTGACACTTTTTTTTTTAAGCATTTAATACGTGCGAAGTATTAGATTCCCCAAATGCTCCCAGCTTCTGGTTTCACTTTGCCTTATAGTCTTCTCATCCCGTCTTTGCCAGCAGGAGAGAGGAGAGGAGGGGGAGCAAGGAAGTCTCCCTTGCTATCAGAGTTTGGGCGTACCTTTCTGCAGCTATCGCCCTCCAGTTAAAGGAGAGGATGGGGGCAGTATGATATGGAAGCCAAAAGTAGAAAGTAGAGCAGCTCTCAGGGCCTGAGGGAGGGGCGATACAAAGGAAATGGCAGGCTCACCTCGCTACTCAGCCACTGTCTGGTCCAGGCCTCAGGATCACAGGCCTCTCTTCTCTGTGCGAGGAATATGGAGAAGGAAGGCCATCCTTCCGGGTGTTAGAGGGGAAGCCACTCCAAGAGTTGATTCAAATTCTGCCTTTCACTCTCCAGGGGCAGTGGGGAAGACAGAGACAGCGCCTGTGGGGGACAGGCGCTGTGGGTGGAAGGACACCCTGAGCTGAGTCCCTGAGGTGCAGCCACCTTGCAGCCTCTTTTCCATCACCCCATCCCCCAGATAGATAGAAAGCAGGGATTTTGCTTTGGGTGACTGGTATGGGGAGGAAACTGGTTTGGAGCCAGCTGTGTATGAGTGTGTGGGAGTGACTGTCTTTCTTTTCCCATCCACCTGCTGCCCATAGTGGGGGGACCCAGGCAAGCTTCCAGAGAAAAATGTTCCACTTCGGGAAAAGGAATGACTCAGTTTCCCTATGGAGAGAAGGGAGGCTGACAACCCTCAGTGCCTTGTATGCTTACCAAC